TCGCACATAGAGACCTGCTAATAAATTAGTGTCTCTTACAAATTCAGCTGTGAAAAAAAACAAAACAGCACTTAACCTCTACAGGTTAGTAAAGAGAACACTGTGACTCCTAAAATGATAATTCAGTTCAGTTCACTTCTTAGTGACAGCGGCTGTCTAATTGGCCATGGTTATACCTTGACGTGCCCAGGCTCGAAAGTGTCTGCAAATGAAGTAATGGTGAGGTTGAGGCATCCAAGCAGAATAATTTGTTTGTCACTTCACAAGTCTCGCTATTCTCTGATGTCTAAATCTTCTCCCTGGCTCTTCCATTCTCTCTGCTATGACTAAACAGTGTAATTCATTTATTATGGATTAGGCCCTAAATTAGGTTAGCACATATTAAATCATTCATGTGGGCTCACTTCTTTGACTGGCCTGCTGAATCATTAATTAGGAGTTTTGGAGATGCTAATTTGTTCTATGATCCACATGAGCATCTAAAAGTTGGATGAACCGGTGTCCGTTTTTATTTCCTGGAATGAACCTTGAATATTTGTTTTCTTTTGGAATGATACGCCAGACCAAAGACTCTTGTCCACTTACCTACACACAAAAAGACACCAGAGGTCCTTCACATTTTTATCAGGCTTTGGATATTGATGTACAAATAGATGGAGGATTCATAATAAGATAGACTATATATCGTGCACAACTATGCACACACGCTCATATACTCTTATTTTCATATCCCTATGGAGTAGGTAATAATACACTTTATGTGCTACAATGTGTTGTGCAGTGTATAAAACAACTCTGGCAAAGATTTTAAACTAAGAATACAACACACATTGAAAGTACTCACAGAGCTGCTGTGCTCGATTCGCTTGATGCTTACATCCTTAACATCTGCATGATGGCTAACCAGGCAGCACAGGTCCGACAAAGAAAAGCAAACCTAGTTTCCATTGGGGGCATTTTCTCTCACTGTGGGTTTTAACATCTGTTCAGAGAGTACACATCTCTGTGTGTGATGTATGGATGAAACTGTTGGCTACTTGGCCAATCATTTCTTTGTCAGTCATATTATTTACGGAATAAAAGTATTGAATGTAAATGTAAAAGTGTCAAGAGTTCGTTAAAGGCCATGAAAACAAAATGTATTTTAAGGTTACAACAGAGGAGGTAGTTTCATATTTGTTTTGGTTTTTCTCAGGAAACATGTGGACATTCAAGTGCCAATGAGGATTAAGTAATAAAGCTCATCAAATAATTTTGAATCAGAATTTGATCGGGTTGAATCTGGTTGGTTGTTTGGTCAAGTCTGATTATAGCACACCCATACAGGTACTAGCTGACGTTTTGAGTGTTAAACCCTATAAAACCTTAAATAAATGTGGCAATTGTGCATTCTTAGGTACTTGTTGTAATTTCCCTATCTTACAGTTCATTTTAGCTGAATGCTACAAGTGCTGATGTCAAGTATGATTGAACTGGTTCTCAGTCTTTGATCTCTCCAAACAGAATACTATAGAACAAAGTGCACCTCAACTCAAATAGCATTTTAATCCACCAAAACACTCACACAGTATGTTAAAGCCAATCACATCAAAAAGGAAGCTGTGATATACCTTATTATGTTAATATGTAAGGAGCTTTCACATTGAAACAAGTAACTGCATAATGCTTTAAAAACATGAGGTAGCATCTTTTATGTTAAGTCCCTTGCCAATTAATCTATGCGTGAAAGCTTATGCGTGTGCAGGACTTGCGAACAAATTTGGAACATTATGCTCTCTATTCTCGTTTTACAGTTTCGGCTGAACGCTATAGTTCAGCTCTACTGTATCTAATATTCCACGCTCTGCTGCTCCTGGGTGCTTCGCTCCCTATTTGCTTTGGTGACCCGTACGGCTTTATCTCACGTCTTCTCTCACTTAATTACCCAGTAGCGGGGTTGCCTTTCCTCTTCAGTCAGCAAAGTCCAGCTTGAGTTGGATGAACTCAGTCGGATCAACATAAGAAAAATCCTTGTAGTGCAGACATTAGGGCTTCTTTAAACGTTCACCGGCTCCAGACTCCCATATGGCACATCTTAGAATGCAGTGACTATAAGGCTGAATCATATTTATTGATCAATGTGCATTATAGATTATAGCCTCAGCTATGGCTAAAGTTGCACTATAAGCACATAATAATAGTCAATTCTTTAGGGAGTGGAATTTATCCTGGAAAATATGCCAGAGGACACCAATAGACATAGGAGTAATATAAGGGCCTGACATCTAAACCCCTGCGGGCTTTGCCTCCATACATAAATTCATGAAAAACAGAAAAGCCACAGCATTGCTTCTAACACAGTGGATGGCCAGGGGTTTTCATATTTTTTCATCAATTTTTTCCTTTGCTACCTTGTTTCAGTCACATGTTTTTTACCTCTGATCTTCCTTTGCTTAACAAAAAGGCATTCATGTTGAGCTTGAAGATACATGATCTGTTTATTATCAAATTGAGACATTGAGAATCATAAAAGAAAGACTTGTCATACTTACTCTTATCATCCTTTGTGTGCAGATAATTATTCCACACTCACAATTCTCCACTTTTAATCGGCAACCCTGTTTTTGAGGATTAGAAAATTCGATTGAACTCAACTGTGTAAGCCAGAGATGCTAAATAGTATAATTGTTTATCTATATTATCCCTTCAATAGTGTTTTATTTGTCAGATAGTTTACAGATTTGTATTTTCTCTGTCAACTTTTATGTTTTATCTTCTATTTTTAGATGTTTATATTGTTTATTTTCTATACTCTTTTTTATTTCTAATGATGTGCAATACTTTGTTTCACATGCTGCTGCAACAACATAATTAAGGATATCTTATCTTTATCTTATCTTATTTATAATAAGGAATGGAAAATAGGGAGTATTATTAACAAACCACCAAGTGGCGTCATAGTGCCATTTACTCTTTGGAGATACTTAGAACTTGACAGGGTTTGAGGATAGTTCAAAATGCATAGACAAGAGGTACACAAAGAACTATTCTGAGCCTCTTGAAAATAATTGAGACTTTTCTTTTCAAAAACTACCTTTTTGAAGAAACACTAAAATCCAATGAAAAGAGCTGTGTCTAATTTGTCCAAGGTATTTACAATGTCTGGTAGGCTATGGATTAGGTCAATGGGTTAGATCAGGGGTTCCCAACCCCCGGTCCGCGGACCGGTACCGGGCCGCGGAGGTGTTACTGCCGGGCCGCGAAATAGCTGTGAGTTTATCGTAATATTTGCAGAATTATAAATATATAAAAATATTTTATCATAATATTTTTTTCAAAAAGTGTTTAATTTTCGCACATATGCCACCAGTCATATTATTTCATCCAGTAGCTAGTTAATCTTACACCAGAAAACCGTTGAAAATGGCTTTTATGATGTTCCGAGGGATTCGGCGGCTCAGCCTAAGGTCTCAGCCTCTTGTGCGCACGAGCATGTTACCGGTGCGCCAAGTAGGAAGAGGAGCGCACAGGAGACAACCGTTTGATTGCAGACTGTTATGTTTATGTGGGGAAATGGTGGTGCATACATTATTTGAGATATATTTCAAACTCGGACTTCATTTTAAGGTGGGCCAGGGGTGTAGAGGGAGCTATTTGTTTAAGCACCGGATTGGCAAAATAGGAGAGTAAACCAGTCTGCCTTGATCTATGAATTAATGACCGGGACTCTCACGGTATCTGCTGCCCGCAGCTGTTTTATAGAAGGAAACCCTCCTTCACTTCATGATTTGGCTGCAGCATCAGGAGGCAGCGGGACGTACTCGGTAAAGAGCTGTGCCTTTTTACGCACCGCCTTCGCTGTGTTTAACTTAATCAGAACAGTTTAAGAGTGACTGCAGGCTGCTACGTGTTAACCACACACACATCTACACACATCGAACTGCCCGATTACTCCCCCTTTTATTAGTTTTATGAAGGAGATGTCCAGTCAGTCACCAAGACGCATGTGTGTGTATGTGCTCTGCTCAGCTCAGCTATGTGTTCGGTGTGTTTGTGTCTGTCCGACACCGGCATATATGCGGCTGTTCCCAAAATAAATTAGTTTAATCTTAATCTCGATGTAGTGCTAAACTGTCGGGAGTGCACCGGAACGAACGACACTATCATAATATCTTCTGAAAATAAATGCCAGTGTCACACACACACACACACACACACACACACACACACACACACACACACACACACACACACACACACACACACACACACACACACACGCACACACACACACACACACACACACACACCCTGGCGACCGGACATCTCCTTCATAATGCACCTTCTCCTCGTTTTCCCAGCATTCACTGGATTAAAAAAAAACAACACCGGTTCTTTTTTAAACTTTGTTAATATGTTTTGGATGCATATTGTTCTAGTATTTGTTCAGGCTGTTACATACAATTAGCCTCTGTTGCTACCTGCTGGTGGTGAGTAAATATTAAAATCAGTTAAAATTGACAACCGGTCCGCGATTTTTTTTTAATGTATCTACCGGTCCTTGGCACAATAAAGGTTGGGAACCCCTGGGTTAGATGACATGGGAGTTATTGGAAGAAATTCAATTGATCTTCTTGTAAAATATGTTTTTGTTAAATCTATTCATGACACATTAGTAATCAAAGGAAAATTGTGCTACAGAAGACACATTATTCGATTTGATATCATTTTTTCCTCACTTTAATGGGTAAGTTAGCACAGAGAAATAGAATATAACATTGTTTTTATGTCACTCAAAAAGTAATTTATAGATAATATAAAAATATAAAAATAAAAATCATCCTCTGACTGACTGACAGTCTGCGAAACTGAGGGACAAGAAGCCGCTGGATATGGAGTTAATGTCTGTCGAATAGATAAACAAACTGTATCGCGTGTATCAAAAATGTGCATACAAACCAGTGTCGTGTTTTTTGTACTGTTATGAATTATCATACGTGATGACGTCGTTCAAGGATTCGCTGTCGATGTCCGACAAATCGAACAACAAACGGAAGTGAAGCATGAGGAAAAAAAGAGATGTTTCGTGTATGAAGTTAGTTAGCTAACCTTAAGTTGTGTTGTCATTTAAAAAGAAGTCAAGCATTGCATTGTGGAAGGGAGCATTTTCTTCTGTTTGATATCCTCCGAAATTAGATAGTCCTCCTGGTCTCTTTCTCTGAGAGCAGGAACGAAGAGTCAGGTACGTTGTGCTCAAGATACCATTGGACAAATCTTCAAGCTAATGCTAGCTAACAAACCAAGAGTCAGACTGTGTTTTTACAATTGCTTACCTATGTTATCTTTCAAATAACTAGAGTAACGTTTGTCAGCAACGTTTGATGAAGTAAATAACGTTTGTGTTCACGTTATCACAATATAGCAACAACGTCAGGCTAACCTGGAACAATACCGACTGACTAAAGTTATTTGTTACCTGGCTGGTGTAAATTGTAGCTAACTTAGCCGTACACCTAACGTCGCATTTAGAGGGAATTACCTCGTTGCCTTTTCATCTCATGTTCCATTTAAACTTGATGCAAGAGCCCTTATAATTTGAGATGATTGGGCATAATTGACACATCGTTAACAACTATGAAAACGCTACATACTGGTCCGAGTAAAGGCTGCATTTCTAAACGCGCGACTATGCTGTGGAGCTCCACAAGGTCCCTAAAAATCCTAGGTTCAATGATTAGCAATTGATCCTGTTTGTAAATTATTTTGTCAGAATCCAGATGTATCACGTTCGTTTACATTGTAACGATATGCACATTATAAAATATCGGTGTCAAAATCAAATTCAAAACTATAGGGCCAGGTACTGATACATCAACATATAAGTACTATCTGAGGGGACATATTGAAGTTTGTAGTCTGCTGCTTGGACTGTATGCCTACTTGCTGGGAACATGAGCATCCACTTACGATTGAAAGTGGGGTCTTAGCAGCACATTTTAACCCTAGAGTGTTCTCTTCGCATAGCAAAAAAGTATCTGGTTTACTTGAAATGTTTGCCATAACATAATTTCTAATGGATCACTTACTATATTTGTTCTGATTATCATCTTTGCTGTTTTTGATGTGTGTTGTACTCTGTCAGCCAGGATGGATCCAGCTCTACTGAGGGAGAGGGAGCTGTTCAAGAAAAGAGCTCTGTCCACCCCAGCTGTAGAGAAGAGACATGCTGCCTCTGACTCGGGGTCCCATAAAAGGAAGAAGCCCAAAGTTGAGAAAGAGGGCTCCTCTGGATCCAAACACGGCTCTGGTAAGTAAAGGATAAAAAAGATTGTATTGATTCTTTTTTCAACATTCACAGTCAGTAATAGTAAACCGGGCACAGATCCTCTTATTTTGCGGTTGAATGTGGATGAAAACACGAGGCACCTCAGTGTTTTTATAGGAGTTCCTCAACTATTCTGTTTCTGGAAAAACAAAATGCTTTTAGAGCATCCATCAGCTTTTGGAAGTTGTGGTAACTTCCTTTTCCACCATCATGACTTCATCAGCTGAAGGCCATGCTCTTATGAGATCTTCTGGCATCCCAAATTGAAAGTTTGTTCAGGAAAACTACTGTTTATATGTGCATGTTTATAGCAGTAGGGTCTAGGCGGTTGAGGTAGCTACAAAGTTTCCTCGTCAGTTTTAACTTCCCTTTGGACAACTTCTTCCATGATATTTTGACATGATATTTGCCCCATGCTAAGCTCACATTGTCTGAGCTCATGTTGTCATGCTCATGCTTCAGTTCTGCTTTAAAATGTTCTTATTCCTAAACGGTCCTCATCATCAGTATTCAGTGGCTTTAGGTACATCCTTATCGTCAGGGCTAATGTAGTCAGAACCCTCTATTATTAAAACATCCTGCTCTGCTCTAACTCTGACACCCAGGTGCTGTACCATCGTGTCATAGAGACACTAAGCACATCTTTTCCATCATTTGGGGTGTTTCTCAATCGCGAGTAAAGCTGCTTCAGAGCCACTATTTCAAGCATACTACGTCATCGAGTGCCGCCGAAGTACTGTTCCAATCTCCAGTATACTTGGAAATCTACCGAGCCCGGCGTACTCCGTTTGGAGAAATATCGAGTCTACACATGAGTAGACTTCGCGGTCTTAAAATCCCCACAATGCTTTGCGCACGGCCCAATTTCCCCAAATCTGTGGCGGAAGATGTAAGGCGGGGCCTCTCATATGACGCACACCTGCACACTTGCTAGCGTGTTCCACACTTCGTTTCCGAATGCCAGGAAGTATTCTTGACTCGCTTCTGAAGCAAGATGCTCGGCAGACATGTGCTACCAAGCAAGCGTACTCGCGATTGAGAAACACCCACAGTCTGTATTTATTCATAGTTCACAGTGACAGAACAGTGCCATCCTTTGGCCAATCCAGGTAAACACGACCTAAGAATTTGTCACCTGCATCCAGGTTACCTTGAATAACATTTGTAAGTCTCTTTCATACCACAGGTATCTAAAGACCTTAGAACCTTTACGGAGTAAATGTAGTGCTAATAGGAAATCCTTTTAGACAAACCAGAACATTGTTAAGCATTGTTAAAAAATGTTACGTTTTAAAGAAGCCCGGTGAGTTGAATGTTTAATGGAATTAAATTAATAATGTAGACGAGGTTGAATATATTCTCAGGTTGCTAAAGACCCGAGGTATGCATTTAAGAGTTGATTAAATCAAAAACTGCAGTTTGATCAATGTGTTAAACACACTTGTACATACAAGTAAATACAGAAATAGAAACAGTGCTAGTTTGATACGTATGTCCACGCTAGTATGGGTACGTTACTGTGACATTAATATTGTCATCTTTCTGGCCAGTATTAACAGCATTTGACCTGATCTGTGCCTGATGGTGAAGCACTTCCAACTAAGATTTGTAATTAAGCACATTTATAATGAAAGTTGCAAAAATATTAGGAACAGTAATAAACGTCTTCTAATTATTTTGAGGCCAGGCTAAGCTCAACACTAAAATGTTTTACGTATCTTACCTTTCCTGTTCCCTTTTATATAGCATTTCTCTAAACAGAAAAAAAAAGGCTGGTACAGAATGAAGTGGCAATTTATTAGGCATTGTGTGGTAAGGCCTGTTAAAATCATACATTGTGCTTAATATGACATGATAAATTACATCACTGCAGCAACCAAGTGTCCCTTGACTTGAGATAATGTTGACATTTTAAAACATGTTGACATCACTGGCCATCAATTAACTAAAGAACAAAGAAACACAAGCTTTATTCAAAGTAACAACGTTTGCCAGCTAAGCTTGATCATTTATTTGCTGTTCGTCAGGTCCTGTTGGGAAACAATGATAATGAAGTCTTTACATTTGCACAGCGTATTCTGTCTGTATACAACATTTGACCATGTCTCTTAGAAGCTCATTTTCATTGACATCCGGCTCATAAGTATGTGCAGTACTCACAGGGCAGAAGGATTTTCATTCAACAAGCTGATATTGCGTGTTATTAGTGTTTTTATGCTAAAATAGCCACACTTATTAAACTACTTGGGTGCTCTCTTTTTCTCTGGTTGTGTTTCCGGAGTCAAATATGGCTTTTAGTGTCTGCAATATGTGTTAGTGGTAGTGAACGCTAATGTGTGAAGATTCCCTCATTACTGAAATTCGTTTCCAAATTGGTGACAAACTGACTATTTTTTTACATTGTTCTGTCACCTTATATCCTCTCTCTGCATTCTCTAAACTGTGAGCAATGAAACCACTATTGGGCACTAGGAAGTTATTTTCTCAGGGCATCAGGGTTATGGTTGTGTTATTGCCCAGTTCAGAGCTGAAGCCCAAATTCCCATCTTCCTCCTTATAGCTGCCCTTATACCACCTCAGTGCAGGATTCTGGCTCCTTGCAAATGCTGGTCATGAGCTTGCCGCAGCTCCCCGGCCCCTCCTCCTGTAGCTGGTGATGTGTCTTCCCTTTGGCACAGCACCCACAGTCCAGTAGCTCATAGAGCACGGCCAAAGCAGCCAGAGACACGACGGTGAGGATGAAGAGCAGAAGGATGATAAAGCAAGCCACATTCCAGCCATCATGGAAAGGGTAGACCTCCTGGACCTGCAAGGACACACGGGAGAGAAGCGCCGCCTCTGGCTGCCCCGGGAGATAGCCTGGGTGTATCGTGGTAGTGATGTTGGCCATGATATCTGGTTTGAAGCAAGAAGAAGAACGTAGAGAAAGACAGATTGTTAATGCGTGCGACACAGTGTGAATCTAGGTATCGCTGCGAGGAGGTGGCAGCAGAAGGGAGACCAAATTAGAGAACAACGGTTGTAAAATACTTGTTTCCATGGTGAGAAGATGATTAGAAAATGAAAGTGGTAGAAGAATGTCTGGAAAAAAAACTCTCTGCGGTTAATGTGCCTGAATTTCATTTTCACTTTTATACTGCTAATGTACTATTTGACAAGGACTTAGTCTCACTAGAGAATACTTGTAATTTAAATAAGAAGACCATTTGTTATTAGAGCAAACGGTTATATGGCAATTGAGCATAAACCCTGTTGAGGCCATCTGCTTTGAGCCTGGTAGAAAAGGAAGGCAGCATCTGTGCTTGGTGTGCAACTCTTTGGCCATAACAACTGAAAACAAATGTTAAAAATAAGCAACTGCTTACTCTAGTAATAAGTAGAAGTTCTGGAGTATGCACACTGTTAGGCCATTCATGTCGCTTCAGCTATCCTTTGACATTTTCAGCCAAAGCCTACCATTTTAAACAAAACAGCATACTAGTGTCTCTGCCCACATACACATTCACGTGTGAGCACATACATGCTCTTAACACACATATGCACACACTCACAGCTACAGATATTTTCATATCGCATACTGAGACCAGGGAAGCTGACCTAGATTACTTGAGGGAACCACAGAAATGATTTGAGTTGGAGGGGCATTGGTGTCTCTCTTCACACAAGGCTAATTCCATAAGGTTACATTGTTTTCTGCATTTGTATAACTACAACTGGGCTTACTGTGTATAAAAAACACAGATACATGTATGCAGGGTAGATTTGTGGCATCTTAGAGTATATACTGTATATGTGTATTTCAGTGCAGTTTAGGTGATGAGTGCTTCTTGTATGATGGTAACCTGGTTTTCTTGTTACTTGAAACCGTAATGTGATAGAACCTGTCTCTGTCGTGGCTTCATTAGTCTGTTCAATTCAGGAAGTGGCCTAAGTGCAGATGGTATGATTTAAACTGGACTATGTAAGGCCGGAAGAAAATACTACCAAGGGGTCACACAAGGTTATAACTACATTAACTGCGAGTGGTTTAGGAGAGCAGACTGACGCACATCTGTTTACAGAGTGCACAGAATGCAACTCAACTCCATATTTAGCAACCTCTTATTGCAGACCCAGCTCCTAATATCAACACTTCAACTCATTGCCATGACAACAACCTCTTTTAACTATTTTGTCTCCGCTGGTATTGCTCCCCCCGTTCCTCTTTTGTCAGAGCAGTCACATACACATTGACAGATTGGCTCCCTAAAGCATCTGTTGTCTCTCCCCCAAAATGAGCCCCACCCCAGCCTGGCTTTTAAAGGTGTTGTGGGATCATATATTGCTCTCTGCTGCCTCTCATTAAACACACTCAAACAAACACACCCACCAAATACACTTATGCACTCTTAATGCCCCTGGCTGGCTCCTCACAGCTGTCAGTCCCTCATTGATTTATCTTGAGAGCTGCAGTTTGCACAGAGTCATGCATTTCCACAAAACAGAGTGCATCCATATGAGTACAGACACAGAAACACAGAAACACTGTGTTGGATGTTTGGTATTCCAGCGGGAAGTGTGCTGACAGACAGATCCATGTTTATTTAATCCATTACGTGCTTGCCCAGTCTTGGCCTAAATATTACAAGTGCCACCTAAAGCTCTTCGCTTAGAAATTGTTATACTATAAATAACATTTCCCATTCTTAGTTGTTAGATATAGTAATTTGCAATTTAATGCAGAAGGAATCGGCTTCATAGAATCGCTGCCTATAAAACATTTATGATTTACCCTGTGAATGCTGGGTTACAGGCAACTAGAAACCTTATATGATGCGCACACAGCCTGTAGCTTAAATGATCACTCTGGAGTGTTGATGATGTGCTGATGTTAAACACATTATTGGGATGATGCTATTCTGAAAATACGCAGACTCACCTGTGTGTCTGGCTCAGTCTCCAGAAGATGCGAGTCAACAGATGCACTCGTGTGTGTTCGGTGCTCCACCTATTGCTCTGTCTCGTACTCTCTCCTTCATCTGTGTTCACTCCTCGACCCGTTTTCCTCCCCAGCACACTCTCACGCACTATCAGCCGTCGCTCGTGCACTCCCTCACCCCCCTCCGCCACTCCTTGCTGCTCCTCACGTCTCAGCCGAACAGAACGGGCTACTCTCTCCCTCATTGGCTCTTTTCTTTAAGCCCTGCCTCTGCACCATTCGTTAAACGGCCTGTCACAATGTCAGCGTCCTGCCCACAGTGCAGCTCTCAGCAGCAGAAGCTCCCGCCCACACCATGCATCATTCATGTATCGGTGTCTGTTTACAGCTCTGATTGGAGAGTCCAGACCTCCGACAGACTACGGGGGGGGGGGGAGCATTGTTGGACTCCCACAGAGAATAGGACCAGCTGGCCAGACTTCAAATCAGTCTTAATAGATTAATCTCATATACTCCTGTACTACTAGAACATGTTTGTTACAGTAAATGATAAGGCTGTTAATAAACTGTGTTAACTTATTGTTATCACATACAATGAAAATACCAAAACTAACAATGAGCTGATCCAGCTAACACATCATTACTTTTTAGCCACAACCTGATATATCTGTTTCCTCTGTGCCAAAAGAGCTCCATAGTTTCCATAGTAATCAACGAGCCATACTGTTGCTCTAGGGTTGGCTTTATATCATGAACACATTGTATACACAAAAAAGATAATGCAATGGTTACAATATACGGACAGGAAAAAATAACAATGAAATGGCTACATATAATTAACAAATGAATTGTTCCTCAAAAAATACTTTCACTGCTGCTGAAACCCTCGTCCATGCCCTCATCATTTCCAGACTCGACTACTCTATTAGCATACTCTACGGTTGAGCAAACAAAATCACCAACAAACTGCAATACGTCCAGAACTCCGCCGCTCACCTCCAACCCCCTCCGAGACCACCTCACTCCGGTCCTCCACATCCTCCACTGGCTCCCAGTAAAATACAGAATCCACTTCAAAATACCATTCACCACCTTCAAAGCCCTAAACAACCTGGCCCCTCCCTATCTCTCTGACCTCGTCCACTGTCACATCCCCACCCGTTGCCTCAGGTCCGGAGACACAAGCACCCTAAAGACCCCCAGAACTCCGGACCTGGGGTGACGCGGCCTTCTCTGCTGCCGCACCATGGCTCTGGAACGCTCTCCCTATACATCAGACAATCAACGACCCAATCATCCTTCTAACAAGCTCTCAAACCCCACCTCTTCAAAATTCCATTTCCCGTGGAACCCCCACCCCCCCCATGTCATAACTCCACCTGAATGTTAAATTGTCTGTTTTTCTTGTACAACTGTGTTTGTTAAATAGGACTTCTGTAGAGCGCTGTATACATTTAATTAAATGTATTATTATATATTGAAGTTTACAGAGGTATATCCTCCTGAGACCAAGCCCATTGACCAATGTCCTCTGTAGTAGACATTTTGTTCACATGCTTCTCCTTTTATTCTTTTGAGCTACTCTATCAATCTCTGCTGCACTGTACGAGGACATCCTGGGCATATGTTTGTACCCTTTAAAAAAGAGTTATACTTTTTAGTAGAAACTAATAGGCTTTAGTCTGAAGGTGCCACTGACACATGGCTGGTTTTATTCTTTTCCTGGGATTTGTTGACAAGATGTAAAACAATGCTAGCAATTTAAACTCTAAATAAAGATTAATGGCCTTATTGAAAAAATTGTAATTTTGTTTTTGTCTTATGATGGTTTAGAAAAAAAATGGTGTGCTCAGCCTGTCTACTGGTTCTAAAAAAAAAATGGTTTTAAAGAATATTCACAAAAATCTGTGGCTTATGATATAGTGGTTTGTGACATTTAAACATCTTTCCATAACCGCTCCTTCTCTTTTCTCCTCAGAGTCTAGTAATGGCAAATTTAACATCAAGACGAGCTCTGGGTACAAGTTTGGCTGCCTGGCCAAGATAGTCAATTATATGAAGGTACGTACGTCTTCAGAGACACTTCCTCTTTGAAAGGAACATTCTTCATCAATATACTGGTGATTGTGTTCATATTTTTCTCCTCTGCATATTAATCAAATATTTAATTCCATCTCATTGAAGCTTTCCCAACAGCATCTATTTAATTGCTAGATTTTAAGGTTGTCGTCATCTCCATTAAAGCACTTTAGAAGCTCTTGTTGTGTGTCAGCCCAGTGAGTCAGTTGTGTCGCTGTGTTACATTTGGTCCCCAGTCTTTCTTTTGGTACGTTAACAGCTTGTTTATCATGCTGTGATTCTGAAAGAGGCTGCCCGGACTCGTCACAGTCCCTCTCTGACTCATCTCCCACACTCAAGTTGTCAGATTTTCTTTTAATGTGTTCACTTGTTGTGCCATCTGTTGAATAAACAGTTTGAATCCATGTAACATAACATGACAGTTAGATGTAAGGCACAAAATTACCGTAGACATTTGGCTGAAACGCTGTCAAAGATGGGAGCTAATAATTACGTACATTTAAATGTGAACTGTCATTTCAAATGTTGTTGACTGGTCATGTGCATCTCTCTCCTTCACTCTCAGACAAGACATCAGAATGGTGATACACACCACCTGAACCTAGAAGAGATTCTGGATGAGACCAAACTTCTAGACATCAGCATGAAACAGAAGCAGTGGCTTATGACTGAGGTGTGTTTCTGGACTTCGGTTTTATACTGCTCATTAATTCAGGAGTAGACCTGTTCGATTCCTACAACATTTCTCTCGCCTGCTTTAAAGCTGAAATCCCCACAACACTTATATTCCCTCAGTCATCTGTGGGCTGATGTGAGTCACAACCCCCTGTATTTTGCAAATGAAGAATGCCATTGAGAAGCGAGAGTGACATCTTATGACACATCTGAAAAACGTTCAATAACTTCTTGTTGTTAAAAGTAGAAAAATAATATGAATTTAAGAAAATAACTGATTTAATTGTGGTTTTAGAGTTTATCTTTCCACGTGGTAGCTCTGTGTTATATAAAAGTAATTACATAATTACAATTTCTAAAGATTTTAATAGTACCACAAAATGAATGAATAGTATTAAGATTTGCAAACTAGTATTAAATAAACTTGCATCATATTTACATCACATAATTGTTTAATCCCTATATACTGTACAACCCCAAGCTTGTCGAAAAGTTCAAGGTGCAATTGGTAACTGATAAGATTCAGCCACTAGATGGGGCCCTCCCTGGTTTATATGGTGTTCAGGTCATGACAACATGGTGGCCAGTTTGATGCACAACCTGCATGTTTTATGCACAGTATGTACGTGTAGTTCCCTGATAATAAGAGAGACTTATCTACTTATTCACTCTCTGAAACCATCAGGCTCTGGCCAACAACCCAAAAATTGACGTCCGGGATGGGTCGTACGGCTTCAAGCCCAAGTACAACCTGAAGGACAAGAAAGCGTTACTGAGGCTGCTGGACAAACACGACCAGCTAGGCCTGGGAGGCGTGCTGCTGGACGACGTCGAGGAGGGGTTGCCCAACTCCGCCAAGGCCATCAAGGTAACACGCATTCATGTTATTTATGCTAAGCACCCCATACAGTTGTGTCTCACACCTTTGTATAATGAGTAAACGCCATGGAGGATGCAAAATGAGGATCAGCATTTCTCTCGTGTGTTCGCAGGCTTTGGGGGATCAGATCATCTTTGTGACGCGACCGGATAAAAAGAAGATCCTATTCTACAATGACAAGCACTGCCAGTTTACAGTCGACGAAGGTGAGAAGAAGTCTGTGTTCTAAGGCTGTCTGTGAAGTATTTCTGAAATGAATCTCTGTATCTAAAAGATTTGGATGTTGGGTGTTTTTTCGAAGTTTTTTTAATTGGTTATTCAAGAGCATATACAGGCAATAATAATTCAAGTTTATTTCACCATACATGTATATGTTTACGTATTTGCAGATATAATTATAGATCTAGAAAAAAAAGTCAAGCTTACTTTCATATTCCTTTTGTTCAGTTCATCCAGGTTTTTGTGTGTTTGTTTGGTTAAAATCATGAAATATAAGGTGTCCAGCTGGTCAATCGGTGTGCTTCTTGCTCAAAAATGTATTCAATTGTAGAATTCCAGAAATTGTGGAGGAGCGTTCCCGTGGATTCCATAGATGACGAAAAGATTGACGAATACCTGAAAAAGCAAGGCATCTCCTCCATGCAAGAAACAGGACCAAAGAAAGTGGTCAGTGTCCCCTGGTTTCCCCATCTGCTCTCTTTATTATTCTAATGCCCAACATTTGAATATACTTTTCCTGATTTATTATACTAGAAAAAAGGTTTCAACATTTTAAAGTTTGTGAATCAATCATCTTGAATCTCTGCTGATGATGTTCACCTTCTCCCTGCAGTTACCAATTCATAAGAGGAAGAAAGGTGGGCAGAAGAAGAGAAACTTCAAGACACACAACAACCATTTGGCCGGCGTGTTGGAGGACTACACAGACGGTGTTCCCTCTAAGAAGTGAGATCCGTTCCCTCGCTGCCTCAAGAGGAGTGACGGGTGTAGAATCTGTAAATCCAAAATGGCTGGAGATGGAGACCCCGGCCACACAACAATACAAAGACTTTTTACCTGTTTGTTGTATCAAAACTGGGTTATTTTGATAAGTGGTACTGTATAACAGGGAGTGAATAGAAACTGTGTAGTGGAATCATTTGAGTTTATTGATCAGTGATAACTGGAGGAAAAGAGTACCAAGACCCTTTAAGGACGCTGAAGGCCCGTACCGAAACCATCATCCTTGAAGGGGTGCTGCAACCTCACTGTTCAAATGTAAATGAGGTTGAAGTGTGTTAATACTTTGTTCTTCATTTGATTTTGTAGTATCAAATTACTTATTAGTATTATTTCAAAGGGCAGCAGTCCTCCCCTTATTGCAGCCTTCCATCTTTTTAATAGGAATAGCAGAAGACAGGCGTGTGTTGTGCAGTGCATCACATTGAGGTCTCTCATCCAGCTTGGACATTACTTCTCCTTTCATTTCAAAGTATTTACATTCTTTGCAGCATGGCATAGTGGTTTAAAATACTTAAACTTTTTGAACTTATTTGAATAAATTACACTGTTACAGTAAACGGCCTCTGCTTGATTTATATGACTACAGTGACAACAATTCTAATGAATTTAGTGTTGGTAAATGTGGATATGCACTGAAAATATTTGGAAATTTGCTACAGTATGTGTTCTTGCTGTACTATACAACCTAGCAATGACATTAGAGGTAGCCACTGTAATCATAAATGAGCATACACACACCGTCAGCATTTTTTAGGTTATTTAATGAATCATAGAAAAGGGTACATCAGCACAGCAAGATAAAGAGGAAAAACTTAATCAGCTGTTGCGGTTATATTAGAAAATATTTATCAATAAGAGACATTTTCCTGATGAAGCTTAAGTACATATTATATGGTCATATACATTCATACTACCTGCCAGAATGTGGTATTTAAATATGGGTTTGCTAGCCATTAACAATTAACTAACAAAAAAAGGGAACATTTCCATTTAGCTGGCGTTGTGGCCAGCTTTAACAGTTTTCTTCAAATGGTGGTAGTTTGGCAAAATCTTCATCAGAAAGTCGAGTTGAAGAGTCTGGGGCTGTAAGGATTTAAAAAATAAATTGAAGACATAAGTGTTGTTTTTCACAATGCTTTCAAACTCAGACAATGGCCATGTGTTATAGTATTTTCCTGAACAGCAAAAATATGCCCACTGTTATTAAGATAATATATTGCATTTTGATACATATGTGATAGTATTGTTTTTTTAAATTTATGGTAGTTTATGTCAAAGTTGTAAGACATGAAATAGCCATTTCAAAATGGGCAAGATTATTATATGAACCAAAATGTTTAATAATTTAGTGCAGGTACTCACCATTAAGCACAGTGTTTCACAGTCATGTTTAAAATAGGCATATTCACATAATCTGATATGTGTTTTTGGCAATAGTATTGGTGTACTGCTCACCCCTTAGGCTTTAAGTACATAAACCAACATGACATTAAGATAATTTATCAAATCAGTTTGACAAAGCTGAATCAAACTAAAGGCTTTTTGGTCCACATGGTTTGTATTTAATTAAGCAGGAAAGGTCTGCTGTTGAAATCTGCCAGCACATAGTAAATGTTCACATAAAGTGTTGTGTTTATCATTATGACAGTTACAACAGTTGGGACACTTATAAGAAAGGAACTGCCTAGAATACATACATGGGCTTTGCCTGTATATAAAATTGCATCTACTATAAAACAGATCCATAGACAAAAGCCTCTTATTACCAATGTGTTAGAGCAACACCTCTCTGACTGTCTACAAATAAACCTACATTTTAATGGTCTAGCCGAAAAATGTAATGGAATGCTGAGGTACCTGTGGTCTCTCCGTCTGAACCCGCCTCATACATCCAGAGCCGTAGATGACCGTGTTTTCAGGAATGACTTCACACGTGTTGACCTGACAGAAGGCTCCAATGATACAGCCACTGGTGAGGATCACATTCCTACCAACGTCAGCTAGAGAACGAAATAGAGGATATTTGATACGGTGAGTGACAATTTCTCTGAATCTCCCATGCTACTTTGCATACGTGGGTTGCTCATACATGAAAATGCATTTAAAAATCCAAGAAGAAAGCCAACATCCAACCTTTGGATTCAATGACGTTGTTGTCCCCAATTTTCAGGGCTTGTGATACTGTTGGTTGTTAGTCAAGGCAACATTTATGTTTGATTGTTATGATTCCTGAATGCCTATAATATCAAATAATTTCACTTATAGATAAGACCTGTCAGGAAAGTCAAAAGGATACCACAGCCAACTTCAAATACATTGTTCATGCCAATGGTCATTGTCTTTGGTTCCACCTCAGACTCGGGTGTGATGTTTTCTGGATAACTGTGGTGTAGAACAAACATGATGGTAATTATATAGATGCAGGATAAATTGAAAACAGAGATTACGTATCTTGAATGTTGAACAGTGATAAACAGGGCATGGGTACAAGGAATCTTTAATACCCATTAATAATCAGAGCCTGCTCCTCGATTAAATTGCCTTCTCCAATCACAATGGGCCCTGCCTCTGCAATGATACGAGCTTTTGGATGGACTACTGTCCTGGGGCCTGTGGAAACACACATTATTGAAACAACCGAAGAATAAGTTGAGAGTCCGATTTGACGTAAACTAATGCAAGTTCTGTCAAGTCAGCAGTGACCAATGTCACTTGGAATTGTTCCAAAGCAAAACATCTTACCTATGGTCACATCTCCTCTGATTTCACTTTCAACACAAACTACGGCTCCAGCTGCTATTTTAACACTGCAAAAAAAGTAAAAGAGTACCAGAGAAAAAATGTTAGCTAAGTATGCTATCTAGCCAACTTGCTAGCAGTCTAAACTAGGTACATCATTACTTTATCTCTATAGTCATCATTTGATCGGATACTAACTTTTAGCTAAGCTGTTAAACATCATAAGTGGGCTAACAATGGTATTACCTTTTCTGAGCATTTTGTTTATCTGCCATTGTAATAGATGCAATCCTATGGGAGGATCCAATGATTCACTCGACTATCGATTTGGAGTCCTTGCTGCCACTGCGTATGAGCATGCGTCAACCGACGTAATACGATTGGCTGTACAAAGCATGGATGTATGATAAGAACGGTAAAAAAACCGGTACAAAGAGATGGCTCTGAAGACTTTAACATGATTATCTGTTTACATATACAGGTAACATGTAATGTAATATGGGGATTCGGAAGAATTCCCTTCATTCAAAAATTCCCTTTTTTCTGTGGAAAAAGGATCAATAACACATTTTTTAACACGGATGCATACAAGCGTGTTTAAATAAACAAGATAATAAACGTTACCATAGAAACGGACATTGAAGCCGCATGTATCACCAGAGCGCTCCATTCGGCATGATCCAATCCATACTGTTACATTATAGCTTTTACTGAGCCCGTTTTATCTGCGCAGTCTATGGAATATTTTATTTTAACGTTAGCATGGACAAGCAGCAGTAGCAGTCCGTTGGATGAAATTAATGTATTTCAAGATACAATTTATGGCAAAAAAAAAGGTTTTAGCAAATAAAATATGTAAACTGATGATGACACAGTTTGGTAATGTTATTTTAGCACTGCATAAATGTAGTGGGATTGAGCTATAGATGTGTAAGTGTCCCTTTAGGAGCGACACACAGGTAACGTTAGCGGTAGTGATGTAGTTTGACCCTCATCGCTCCCACTACAATGTCAAAACAAGGAAGGGTCGGAAGTGGCATCTGCTATGGAAAAAGGGAAACGAAAAAAGAATCTTCAGATTTTGGAGTGAAACGATTAAGACAGAAAGTCATGACAAAACTAGAGAAATATATGTTTCCCCTTGCTGCCCTTGCTTTGGTTGTAGCTGTTTGCGTGGTACCACTGACAGCTGAAATATCTAACGTCACCTGTAAGTATCCAGGACTTTTGACAAGAACAAGCAGGATAATGCTAGGTTAGCTTAGCTAGTTACCAAATGTCTACGTAAGTTTACATCTCATACACCGGTTTATTTGTTGACATTTCATTGACCATGGCTTTTACCAACCAACTGTACAGCCGCCACAAATAGATATCTTGTAGTTAAATGTGTTGTCCATTAATACAATTTCTTAGCCTGGTGCTAACCGTAGATAAACCTAAAACGGCTTCAACTCAAAGGAAGACGGTTGACAGTCCACAAATGAGCTCCAGACATTTAAACTTCCCTCCTGGTAGTGGACGGATTAATACAGCATGTGACCACAGGGCTCTGCAGCCATAAAACTTCAGCCCTCTCACATGCTCTCCTCTTCCTGGGAGCAACGCTAGCTGACTGGTTGTAGCTTGCTGTTAGATTTGGTATATTTTTTTAAACTGTGGCTACCCATTTAGTTTTGCTACCATACACGTTTGAATGGAATAGGATTCTCGTCTATATCGATAGCCGTGAATCATATGTTTAAGGTAAGTTAATTGTACGGCTGTAGCACATAGAAAGGCTTTAAAAGCAACGCCATACTTGTATGATTTCTCTGATTTATAGAGTATGTCAGTGAAGAAGTAGTCAGGAAAACTGGGATTATTTTACTCATTGCTATTGGTTGACTGCCACAACAACCATAGTTCTCTTTTTGATAATATGAGTAGGCTAATGATCCTGAAGTCTGTTCAGTAAACAGTGGCTTTACAGTTGGGTGTGGCCAGCTAAACTGTAAGCTGTAACATCTTGTCTATGTAAAAATTAATTTGCTTAATCATTTCAGCTAATATGTGTACTGCTTTTTATTACTCCAGCTACTCGGCATATAGCCCTCAGGATGGATGAGGCGATTCTGACAGTCAACAATGAGCTGGACACTGAGCTGGTGGTGTCCTGGATGTCAGAGCGATGCTATCAGGTACCAGATATTTCCTTGCATTTTTTTCTGTGGACATATGACTTGTTTCAGATGAGGATGGTGATGGTTGTTCTGATCTGGACCCTTGTTTCCTTGTGTGTTAGTGTTTGTACCAGCAGTTGGGTGTTGTCCCTGCAGGACCCAGTCCTGGCCAGCCCAGTTCAGTAGACTTTGTTGTGGGCACACAGCATGGAATTACACTACAGCTCAACAGCACCACTGTCAACCTGGAGCTCTGCACGTGAGTTCAAGAACACCAGCAGTATAAATGTTTAAATATTATCATGAAATCCACTTTCAATGTGAAAGTCTTATTGATTTTCATTTATGTTGTTTTACTGCTTGTTGTTAACTCTATGTTTTATTACTGGCTTTGTGTCATGTAATGTGACCTTGAGTGACATGACAGACGCCTTTAAATAGAATGTATTATTAACTATAAATGTTATTAACCAACTACACACAATCTGTAAACAAGTCTTTAGCTCTAATAAGCTTGCATGTATTTTACAAAATGTCTTGGTTTTAATGTAAAACATATTTTGTGGTATTAAAGGGCCCATGTCATGGCCATTTCCACTGATCATAATTCCATTGTTGAGGTCTACTAGAATAGATTTATATTGTGCAATTTTCCAAACTCACATTGGTTTCTCATACAGCATCTCTGTAAACTACGTGTATTCAATTAATTTCACTCTCTGCCTTTAACGGCTCGTTGTAGCTCCAATAGCTCCAGCCCCCACCCTCAGCAGAGCTGCCTGCACTGAGTGTGTGTGTGAGGAAGTCCGTGGATTGGTCAATTTGGACCAATCAGCGGGGGCTTAACGTAACGGCTCCGCGGACGTAACGTAACGGCTCCACGGATTGGTCCATTTCGTTCCGGGTACGGCATGACATCATGCTGTACCCGGAACGAAATGGAAGAATCAAATGGACAATGACGTATCTCCAACGAGGCGTTTTGGGGAGGTATTTTCTGTGTTAGAGTTTTACTCGCTACAGGGTGTACTTTGAGGGTTTGTGACTCTGCACACTGTTTACATGCATAAAAACCTTCATAACACACAAGGGGACGGGTAATAACCGGAAAAGCATGACATGGGCCCTTTAAAAATGAAATATGAATTGGATTAAGAGAAATGGCCTTGATAATACAGCTGGGCTAATTATGAATGAATAAGAATGAAAGAACATTCAAGTGTCTTCACAGACCCTTCACAGTTGACATGCAGCAGTACGTCTTAATGTTAATATCCATTCTCGAACCATCTAGAATATAAGGGAGACATTTTTATGAAAAGCAGATTTAGGGGTCGACAGCTCTCCTGGTTGGGGTGCCCCTTCACTAAGGCTAAGTCCCTAGCTCAAAGGTGAAAACAATCAAATGTTAAAATGTAACATTGTAGCAGACATAGTTTACATAAACTTGTAAAGTGTGGTGTGTCAACTCTCTATCTTGTTATTAAAACATTGTTGAATGGCAACCTACATATATAAAACATTAAAGATCCACGGAATGACTATGAGCATATATCCATAAATCAATGAGCCCGGTTTGTTTGCGGCGTGTTATAGCGTTTCATTTTTTTAATTCCAGGGTTCCATTCCACTTTGGGGAGCACGGGAACTACTCTCTCTGGGTGAAAAATCTGAACGACTCCTCAGTGGTCAACTGCTCTGTGGTGACTGGTGCAGACCCTGTCAACAGCTACATACGTGAGTCTTGCATGTATTAACACGTTCATTACACTTTATGACACACACATGTGCCAAGTTTTTTTTTATGATGTAATCATGCCATTAAAAAAATGTCAAATCAAAATCATGTTCCTCTTTCTCTCTACATGATCTCTCAAGCGATCTTGGTAGCTTTTCTTATCTTTGCTGGACTGGCCTTGGCGTCTGCCATAGGAACAACAATATTAGGGTAATGTCATTTTATTGTTTTGTTCTTCTGTATTTATTCATTACATTTTTAAGTAGAACTGCGTTGATTTCATACTCATAGGAAAATCTAAATTCATGTGTACATTTACAAACAAAATCAAATCTATGTATGATGCAAAAAATGAATTCCTTAGAGTTAAATCATATGTATTATGTGTTGCAGTGCTGCGGCATTAACTAAGGTTACAGCTAAGAACAGAGAGTCCCTGCTGCTGTGTTCTTGTGTCTCAAATGTGAACTGTTTAAATTACTTCTAAACTGGTTGACTGCTTTTTCTCCAGGCTTGATGTCGTGAGGGGTTTCTTCTTCCGAATAAGTGGCTCCATGGAGACTGAGAGGCTCATCAACTCTGTGAGTGTTTGTGTAGAAGATATTTTTCGAACAACAATCTTTTTAGCCAAAATTACTATGTCAACCAAATGTTGTTATTTATTAAAGTACATACACACAGAAAAGTGTATGCTTCAGTTGAATAGTGTTTCGAACCAACTTTCATCATTCAGGAACTGGGCAGCCCTGACAGGACGGTATCATTGATAGCTGACAACATCCTCCCTCCACCATCGAGCCCCAGCAAGAGGCTGCGATCTCTGGACACATTCAGAGGGTAGGCCCTCCCCCTCAACTCTGCAGCTTGGCTTCCTCAAAAAGAGATATTAATCAAGTTACCAATTGGCATAATCGGTCATATCATGTGTTTTTAAAGTACTGGGAAATGTAGGCAGCTGACACTAGATTTGTGATTTTCATAATTAAGCTTATACTGATAATATCAGCATGAAACAAGGTTCAAGGTTCAAGATTCAAGGTTCTTTATTGTCAAACTGACATAGCTACAGAGTAATTATGTTGTTGAAAATCTTATGTCACAGGCTTCTCCAACAATGCAACATAATAACAATACAGATAGCAAGAGCAATACAAAAAGAAAAATAGTTATAAAATAAAGTGAGCATGTGGAATAGTGCAGTACGAGTCTATATACAAGTTATTGGAATGATATATATTAGATATTAGATACATATTACTGAGTAGCAGATGAATGTTTTGAAGTTGTTTCAGCAGTTCAATTGTTTAACAGTCTCACTGCCCGCGGGAAGCAACTGTCTCCGAATCTTCTTGTCTTTGCCAAGGTCTGGGACCTTGAAGTGTTTTTTTTGTCGAAAAGTGAACAATTAGGTATGCATTTTTGTCGCATCATTTGAAGCAAATATTTCAATGTAACTTTGCTTGTT